CAGAAGCCAGCCCCTGCCACCTGCCGCCTGCCCTGCAGCGTGTGGGTGGGCCCTGAGCTCACGTGCTCTCGCTAAGTCCTGGCCTGCAATCTGAGGGGGCTCTGGGGAAGAAGAGACTGCCCACCGAATCACTTTCCCGGGCTCAGATGGGGCCTTATCCTGCTTTGAAAACCCCAGATTTTATTTTGCTAAAGCTTGCAATTTCTTCTGTGTGTGAATGGCACTTCAAATCTGTTTGTAATGGAACTTGATTGTATCCAGCTGTCACCAACTGTTCCCGTGCCACCCAGAAGGCAGCTGGCTCTATGCCACAGTTCGGGTGTTCGCTTCAAATAGAGGAATTCATGCTCTGATTCCCGCGTGGCTTCACCAAAATGTTTTCACAAGGGGAGGTAAGGCTCAGAGAAGGCAATGTGAACCAAAGCCACGAAGGAGGGATTGCGAGCTGAGGCTCTGGTGGGGGCCGGGCTGGCTGTTTTCTGGGCAGAGCCAAACACATAGTCATGACCATGCTTTTTCCACTCGCTTTTCTGGTTCACTCCTTCAACAGATATTTACCAGGTGGCTGGCCAGTCCTGGGCCCCACTGGAGACAACAGTCCTGGTCCTGCCAACCGGAACCATCTCATGTTCCCAGCCACCTAAGCTAGAAAATGGCAGAGTCAGACATTTAAAGGGCAAAACGAGAGCTGAGCATGTTGGTGCACATTTATAATCTCAGGTACTCAGGAGGCTGAGGTTGGAGGATCTTGAGTTTGAGCTCCCCTGCCAAGAAAAAAACCCGGTTACATCATGGCTAAGGCAGGGTGATACACATCTATAACCCAGCACTCTGGGAGGCTGCCACAAGTTTGATGGCAGCTTGGGCAACTTGGTGACCTAGTGCAACCCTCTCTCAAAAAATAAAAAGCGGGGCCAGGGATTTAGCTCAGCGGTTCTGCCGCCTGCCTTACAAGCGCACAAGGACCCGAGTTCGATTCCCAGTACCCCCCAAAATAAGTAAATAGAATAAAAAGGGCTGGGGATGTAGCTCAATGTGAAGGGCCTGGTTTCCAGGGGACTTAGCACTACCGGACAAAGACCAAGGATCAAAGTCAGGACCTTGTGCCTGCGAGGCAGAGCTGTGCTGCTCAGCTAAATCCCCGGCTGAAACAGTGCATCATTTTAATAACACTGGTCACTAATGCTTAGAATGGGATGATGAAGGCTCACATTCATTCAAATATGCTACACACATGTACTAATGAACTAAAATAAATGGTACTTAGACTCAAAGTGTGGCCCAAACGGGGTAAGAAGCTACCCACAAACTTAGAATCTCTGTAAGGGACAGCATCTCTGTGACTGTAATTCTCACCCAACACCTGAAAGACACTGAGTAGCAGAGTCCTAGCACCGCCTTTCAATCGATACCTTCCTAAGAAGCATGAAGGCACAGCCTGAGGGTGTCGGTGGATAGCCACAGCATTTGCATTTTACAGAATAAAGCAGGGAGAGACAACATAATCACCTCACACACACAGCACTGACATCACCCAGGACTGGAACCCCAACGTGGCCTTCTCGATTAAACCTTCATCCTGCCTGACCCGGCCTTGACCCTTGGAAAGCAGGACCACACGTGGCAGTTTTCTGGAGGAAGCCACCAGCCAGCCACAGGGACTGGAGTCTCCGAGGGTTAGCACATCGCTGGCCACCCCTGGCAGAGGTGGCCTCTCTGATGCCCGGAACACTTTCCAGGACTGCAGGAAGTGTTGTTGGGCAGCCACGCAGTGACCATAGGGCTGTGTGCAGCTGAAGAGTGGTGAGGGTCAGGGTCACAGGAGATTGTCATCTGATGGGGCCGAAAAGATTCGATTAGGGCTTCCTGTCCTGAAACACACGGTTCTGAGGAGGAGGAGCAAAAGGGCAGAAGCTGGGGACTGGCCAGAATACTAGGACCTAGGAGGAAGTGACAGACCCAGGTTGAAAGCCAGCAGAGGGGACAAAGGGAGGCCTTTCAGGGCAGCAGCAGAGAGACCAGACTTTCAGGGTGGACGTGTGGGAGCAGTGAGAGGGAGGCAGGGAAGTGGCTCAGAGCTCTGTAGCCTCTAGCTGTGGTGACAGGGATGTGACCGGGTGGGGGGCACTGGCACTGGACAGCTGGTGGCCAGGGCCCATCCGATTTGGGAATTAGAAGCTAGACTGAGAACTCTGGAAGCAGAAAGGAAACTGACATTTAGCTGAAGACACCTGGACAGCTGGGAATTAGAAGCTAGACTGAGAACTCTGGAAGCAGAAAGGAAACTGACATTTAGCTGAAGACCAGGGCAGCTAGGCTGGGAAGGACACAAGGAGACGGGGCTTCTTGGGTGGAAAGCACTTGACTATGTTTATAAGTGAGTGGGGAACAGTGAGGCACAGGGCGGACAGGACAAGCAAGACTTGAGGGGGAAGCACAGATGGGGCCCAGACCTCCACCCAGGGAACCCGCCCTGCAGTACAGACCATAGCAGATGACTGGCAGGGTGGAGGTGACAGTGCTGTGGCATTTTCATACCTGCACATGATTCCTTCCCACACTGCCACCCCAAAACCAACTCCACTGGAGAGCCACTCGGTCAGAATAGCGGGTCTGTGTGAGCCCTGCTGGCACACCGCCACCTGGGGACTTGTCAGAAACACACCCACTCAGGAGGGCACAATGGTAATGCCAGCATGCCTGGAAACCCATGCTCCAGGGATCTCTGGTGACTTCGGTGCTCTCTGGGGTCTGAGACACGGCCAAGAACAGCAGCTGTGCATGCAGAGAGGTCTGTCTGCAGCCCTGCTGTCTGAGTCTCACCCCGACAGCCTGAGTCCCCACACCTCCCCTCAGTGGCTCCTCCCTGGGGATGCCGCCTAGAGCACTGGGATCACCCTGCAGAGGCACAGCAGAAAACACGGAGCGAGGGACACGTCTTTTTTTAAATTTTGAGTCAGGGTCTCACTACATCACTAAATTGCAGGGTCCATGCTTGAACTTGCAATCCTTCTGCCACCACCTCCGAGTACAGATATGCACCAGCACACCAGGCTCATTGCCAGCTGACTGCTTTGGGCACCACTCACATCCCCTCACCCGGTGTGACTGTTAACCCTGACATGTCTACCTCATCGAATGAAGAAATACCCATCAGATTAGTAAAGCACTCTTGGATAAGTCCAGGTGGGTTACGGAGTCGCGGCCTTGGGTACTACCTAGCAGGGGTACCCCATCCCTGGGCCATGGTCACAGGCTGCTAGGAATCGGGTCACACAGCAGATGAGAGGAGGGCAACTGAGTTCAGCTTCATCTGTATTTACAACCACGACTCATCATTCAAACACACCCTGTGCTCCGCCTTCTGTTAGATCAGCACTGGGTGGATGAATCCCACTGTGAACTGTACATGGGCAGGATCTAGACTCTCATGTCTGATGGTAAGTAGAGCTGAGGCCGTGATGTTAGTGCTGGAGAGGAGCTGAAAATACAGATTAATATTAGCAGAGACCATAATATATCAAGGGCTTGCAGGCTTATATCAAAACCTTCTCAGTGAGGGGCATGTGACAAACTGCACCTGGTGGCAGGCTTGAAGTCAGAATCCAACACTCATTTTAGTCTGCATGTGGCCTGCCCACTATTTTCTTTACCATTTCCCTTCATGCCTCTTTCCTGTACTCCTCCTTTGTCCTAAGATTTTTTTTGTAATCCCAAACTAGCTTTCACCGAAATGAGAAAAACACAAATGTCACCGAAGAGCTTCTTTGATATGGGGGGTGGGGGGAACCCAATGATGTAAGCGGAAGATACTAAGACTGCTAACAAAAAAAAAGCTGCAAAAAAGAACAACATCAAGAGTCCCACTTAAATTATGGGCTCATTTCAACAGATGATTCACATTCCGCAAGCGCACTTTGTACACGGGGGCCACTGAAGCCAGGAAGCCTTCAAAACTGCTTCACCTCACAGAGACGAAGCATCCCACATTAAAAGACAAGACTTTCGAGTTTTTCATGAAGAACAGAAACAATTATTAAAGGTGTCAAATGTGTCTGCACCGGGAGCATCATTCTTTGTGGCTGCCCACATTGCTAATGCTCAGAAGCCCTTTACTACCGGTAAAGAGTTGATCCTGCCTGCTGCTAAGGACATTTATTGTAAGCTTTCAGGAGAGGCTGCAGTTCAAAACGCGGCATGTGTTGCTTTTTCAGACAGCACCAGAACTAGATGAAGTGATAAGCAGATGACTGGTAGAGAGGATCAGAGTCACCACACTCAGTCTGTCACTTTAGGAAGAATGACTGCTTATGTGACCTCTTTCAAAGCCAAACTGGAATTATGGTGGTGTGTTGACACTGTTTTGTTGTTTTTGGAGACAGGGTCTCACTATGTAGCCCAGGCTGGCCTCAGACACCTCTTCCTGGGTACCCTATCGCAGACTGGTGGTCCAGGCTGAGCTCAGTACTTGGTTTGCCTCTCTGATGAGTGCTACCTCCCACAGACACATCCCTGTCACCACAGCTGGAGGCTCCAGAGCCACCATGCCCAACTAAAAATTATTTTGAGAAAGGGTTTTGTTAAATGGCACAGGCTGGGCTGAACTTGCAATCCTACTGCCTCAACGTCCCAGAGTGCTGGGATCATAGGCATGTACTACACTGCCTGCCTTCTCATTCATTCTTGAGTTGGACCTGCTGTATATCTTTTACTACACAGGTTCAGAGGTCTCCTCTCTGTTATGGGTGGCTTTGTGAAAGTATAACAAAGATAACCTTTCACTTGACCTCAGGAAACCAACAAAGAGTTGGTTGAAATACATCTTTTAAAAAGGCAAAGGCAGCCAGGCATGGTGGTGCATGCCTGTAATACCAGCACTTGGGAGGTTGAGGCAGGAGGATCACTGTGAGTTCGAGACCAGCCTGGGCTATACAGTGAGTTCCAGGGCAGTCTCAACTACATAGTGAGACCCTGTCTCAAAAAAATAAAATAAAGTAAGAAGTCAAAGACACAGAAAGGACCCACAGAAACACAGTATTTTATTGCACCAAGATCTTGGAACATCTGGGGCTCCCAAGGTCCCTAGAGAAAAAGTGGAAAGGGTAGGGACCTCTTACACATATAGGTGTAGCCACACAACCAGGACATGGGGTGAGAACAGCTCCTACCGATGGAAGGTGCACAAGATGACAGGGAACATTAGGGAGGTGGCCCCTGCGTGTGGGCCTTTCACCTCCACTCCCAGGTTCTAACCCAATCAAGTGACTGCTATTATAAAACTTAGGTATCTCTAGGTATTTATATATGTACACGTCACCCACAATTTGGATGGTTTTCTAGGTGCATTCTTCCTCATGCCTGTCTGGTTGATGGTTTTCTGCAGAAGGAAAGGACTTGCCTCTACGCAACAGTGATAAACACTATAGGGTCTGGGGATGTAGCTCAGTGGCACCATGCCTATCCGCAAGTGCAAAGTCCTGAGTTCAATCCCCAGTTCTGGAAACAAACAAACAAACAAACAACACCGTAGGAAGCCAGGCCTGGGCTCACCACTGCCATAGAAAACATGGAAATAGTCTCCCGAGGAAAAGGTCCTACAATGTTCAGTCTTGTGGAGAAAAGACAAGAGGAGTAGGGAAAGAAACAGAAAGGAGATTGAGTCTGTGTGAGCCCACAAGTTACATTTTCAACAGCAGAGCATCACAGAACAAATATGGCCGGGAAGCAGTTGATATAGAACAAAAGTCAACACCCCCAGTGAAGAAGCCCGCCCTGCCCACAGAAGTGGCAGCCCCCTCCTGAGATGGCAGATTATGAAGCCACAGCACTAATGCTAGGCCTGTCCTTCTAAGCAGCATTCAAAGCTGCAATCCACTCTCAGCCGGGATAGAAGTGATTGGGCCACGGTGTCACTATTCCCTCCATTTCCCTAGAGTGAAACACAAAAATGAGAAAAATCTAAAGGAACCAGGGGCACGAAAACTCAAATGTCCCTCATCATATGAAGACAGCAACTCCTCAAGGACTGAGCAAGGCCCTAGGGGGACAGCAGAGCAAACAAGAAAGGGTGGTGCAGGGCTGTGGGATGTAGCTCAGCGGCACAGCACCTACCTGCAAGTGCAAGGTCCTGAGTTTGCTCCCTGGTACCAAAAAAAAAAAAAGAGGGTGGCACTGATGAAGGCAGCAGAGAGGCCAGAAAGCCAGGCTGATGGCCAGCACGCCCTGGGACAGCTCAGGGGAGATGAGGAAGGACCCTCTGATGTACTGCTACACCTACTGAGGAGTGTTACCTTTCCCTTGGAAACACCACTTTCACTGAGGAGTCCTGTGTTTATTAAATTACAAATCTGCAGGCACAGCTTGAGCAAGATAAAAAAGGATCTTCTTGAGTCATACAATCATCTAGATTCAAAAGCACTCACAAAATTGAGCAAACAAAGCGAGCATTTGCATATTAGGGGAACATATTGCTGCTGGGAAGCCACAGGCCTGGTCAAAAATAAATGCTTTATATTAAGTAGTAAAATAACGGAGAATTCATCCCCTACACTACCACCTCCATAGAGATCCATGTTTTTGCAGCTGAAAGGGAAGCTATGGCAGTCACCCTGGAACAGAGAGCAGCCTGAGAAGCAGATGCATTGGCACATAATTCAAGGGTTCCCCCGCCCCCAACAGCCTTTGCTCTCTGGAGATGCCCTGGAAGTGCCACCTGCCACTCCAGGCAAGGCAGAAGCAGCAAGGCAGGTGAGCACCAGCTCTTCCCTTTCCAAGACAGATAGTAAGGCATACAGACACAGGCCTCACTCAGGGGACGAGAAGGGCAAGGTGCAGGACAGGACAGTGCCAGCCTTGGGAGGAAGGGACAGCTCGCCAGGAAGAGCCTCCACCTTCACGCCTGTCATCTGGGCACAGGACGCACTGGGATGCATGGTCCTGTCCCTACTGTCAGTCTCGGAAAAGAGCAGATGGCTTTGTCTGCCAGACTACCGCACATGACAAGGATGCTGGGCCCTTCCAAATGTCCTGCAGGTTGCTGTAGCTCTGGTTGACACCACCTGCTGAGGTTGTGGGGCTTGTCGCGAATGTCCCCAAGGCCTCCACATGAGGTTGTCTGCAGTGATGCTAAAGCCCCCCACATAGCAGGCTCAGGGCAGAGCCCCAGAGGTGACAGGACAGCCGAGTCTGCACGAGGCCACTCCTCAGATCAGCGAATGGTTCCCAGGAAATGACAGCTCCAGGAGGCTGTGGGACAGGCACACTGGTCCTTCTGGTGAGAAACAAGAATCCTGGTGTTCCCTCTGCCACTCTCTGGTAGGGCCCACAGGTCAACTCTTACAAAGGACTGGCACCTCCACACATACCACAGACCATAGACGCATAGACACACTTACATCAGATACACACACCCCCAAACTGACCTGTTTTGATGCCAAGTTCACCGGCGGTAGCTGAGGCTGGTGGCCTTAGCTGGATGAGTCACAGACCAAAAGTTCCGTCTACTCTGAAGCTTCTGGAAGGCATTGAAGTTTCTCTTCTTCTCTCTCTTGAATTTTTTCATTTTCTTTTCCTATGACCAGAATCACAGGCATCACGATTCCCAGAGAGGGCTCTCACTGAACCCAGGGGGCCCCTACCACACACACAGTGCCAACCTCACGTGCCATGCACACAAGCCCGTGGGTGGCCTGCCACCCGATCTGCTGATGAAGGCACAGGGACATCGAATGGTCAGGGCCTTGCCCACGACATAGGACACACACTGCAAATGAAACCTGAGCAACTGGCTCCAGCCTCAGCCTCAGCCGCTCTGCCCCACATCTTCTCTTTACCCTGCTCAGGGCTCAGGGAGCCACACCCACCTCCCCATCAAGCCAGGCACACACACCATACCTTGCCGCGGTCAAACTCTTCATCCCAGTCGTCGATCACGGTCTGGGTCCGGGCCAGTCTGCTGTCCTCAATGGCGTCCTGACTGACCGCAGAAGGCTCACCATCCCATGTCAGAACTAGACAACACAGGCATGATGCAGCAGTGGGTCTCTAGACTTGCACCAACTAGACCTGTCTACTCTATTTTCTTTTTTTGTAGCCCAGGCTGGCCTCGAACTCATGGCGATCTTCCTGCCTCAGGCTCCCAAGTGCTGGGATTACAGGCATGTGCCACACCTAGTGACCCATCTACTCTTTTTTTTTTTTTTGAGACAGGGTCTCACTATGTAGTTGAGACTGACCTGGAACTCAATGTGTAGCCCAGGTTGGTCTCGAACTCACAGCGATCCTCCTAAGTGCTGGGATTACAGACGTGCGCCACCATGCCCGGCCGTGACCCATCTACTCTTAATACTCAAACTGCCCAAGTGCCATTTTTGGTAGAAATGGACATGCAAAGGGGGAAAAAGGAGGACAGAGCAATGCAATATGTGCAAGATGGTCCAAGTGGAAACAGCATCAATGACTCTTCCGGTTAAAGCGTATCGGCAATAAATAAACCCACGCCCTTATGTAGGAAGATCTCATGTCTGTTCCTGTGCTTGGACTTAATAAGGCTCCAGTCAGAACAGCACTACAGGTACCAGAGGATCTTTTGCATTGGTCCCTCCCTACTGGGATCCTAATAGACCTGCCAGGAGGTGCTGTTTTGGATCACTCCACAGACAGAACTCAACCTTGTGCTATGGTTGGGGCCATGGGGTAGGTGTCAGGGGATTCCTCTTCCCGTTTTTAAAACCAGAAAATGCATCCCTCCTTACTCCCAGCATCCCAGGGCCTGTTTCCTCCCCATCTCTAAGTAAGCCAGGCCAAGGAAAGTAGAAGCCATGTCTCACAGCCACACCTTGTCTTCCATAAGCCTTGTCTGATGAGTACTTGAGCAACTCCTGGACCACATCAGAGTCTCGCTCCCTGTTCCACAGCCCAAGAGGAGGCTGTCCGAGTCCTGTATGTGGAGTAGCAGAGATCCATTTACAGAAGTTCAAGATGAACCGCTATACAGCCCTCACTGACAGCACAACCTTGGGATTTACTAGTGACAAACGCTCACCTATTGACACTGAAGTGCTTAACATACTAGCAACAATTTTACTCAACAGCTGTTACCCGAGTAAATTCTTGAAAAAAAATCAAGCCAGAAAACAAAACTCTTATCATAGTAGTATTAATCCTTATCTAATGTGGAGGGGACCAGCTCCAATTAGAATCTACATTACCAGCCAGTAACAGCATGGATTTTTTTCCCCCCAGTAATAGGAATCAAACTCAGCACACCTTGAGCGTGCCAGGCAGACATGGCACCACTGAGCTACATCCCCGGCCCCAACAGTGTAGATTTCAAAGTTCCCCAAAGGTTCTTGAGTGGGAGGCTTGGTCCCCAGGAAGGCACTACTGGAAGGTGATGGAACGTTGGAAGTGAGGGCTTTTCAGCTCATTGGTGTGTGCTCTCAAAGGGGACAGTGAAACCCAGCCCATTCCGCCTCTGCTTTCCAGCCACGTGACCCAGCCATGACGTACTGTCTCACCACAGGCCCAGGCCAAGAGAGCAAACAGACCTCAGGCTGAAAGCCCAAAGCCATGTGCTAAAATACACCTTTCCCTAAGGTAATCATCTCAGCAATGTCACCATGATGGAAAGCTAACACATGACCAGTGCTCAAGAATGGGCTGAATGGAGGGACAGTGAAATGCCACCACCACTATTGCCATCAGGGCTCCTCAAGCTTCCCAAGTCCTCACCTGGGTGGTCCCCAGCAAGCTGGCTGTTTGCGCTCAACTCTAGGGTTGTGGTGACACTGGGCTTCGTGCTCCTTGGGTCTTCTGGACGCTTGTTCTCTTCTTCCTCTTGCAGTGTCTCAGGCTTTCTTTTCTTCCTTTTCTTTTTCCTTGGAGACTCTGACCTGGTCTCAGGTTCTCTGTGGTCCGTGGAGGCACAGCTGCTGGGAGTCGGAGGCGACAGTTAGCCCTTCCAGCATAATAAATGCAAGAGCAGAGCTCAGTGACAGGACCTGACCCACTTCCTTCACTCGTAGGAAACCTGCCCCCAACATGACCCTGAGGACAACTGAGGAAACGATTTCCTGTGACATCACTCATTCCACAGTGGGATTGGAGAAATGGTCAAGACAGACAAGGCCTGATGCCCATGGCCACACATCCAGCATGAGGGAGAACGTCATATGGTCACACTTTTAATCCAACTGGAGCGCATCCTACAAACTGAGGGTTGCAGGTTGCTACAACCCCCCCATACCTCACAGCCTGGCCTGGCGTGGCCCAGGTCAACTGACCCTATGTCTGTAGACCACCCTGAATGTACAGGATGGCCACGGCCTGGATAGGGAGGTCATTCCCTATCACTTTAAGGAGCTGATGAAGACAATTTCCCTAGGCGCAGGTATTAGCAGTCCAGATGGCATTCTACCCATATAGAACACATCCATCTGGCACTGGACTTCTTAGCTTCTGCAATCTTGATGGGGGACACAGGCATATTTCACCTTGCTCTTACCTATGCCAAGATGGGCCCTGGAGAAGGCCGACTTTTTTACAGAGTCCCTCTGCTCTCTTTCTCTTCCTCTTTCTACTGCTCACATGTTGGCTGTCCAGAATGCGATCCAGCTGGGGCTGTGCGCCTTCCTCCTCCCGAGGGTGAGCTGGAAGCTCTGCCTGTCCCTTCCTCTTGCTTTCGGGGCTCCGAGGTGGCCCCTGCAAGTGCTCCTGAGGAATGGCCATGCCCTCTGGGCCCTTCCTCCTCTTCCTCTTCCTCTTCTTACAAGGTGCTGCAGTTGCCCCCCCAAGGAGCTGCAGGATACATGCTTCTGAGCAGCGCATCTGAGGCTTTCCCACAGGGCTCCCATTCCTCTTCCTGGAGGGGCTCTGAGGGGCCTCACGGGCGCCCAGTGGCAGCAGCTGGTGTGAAGGGGACATCAAGCCCCCACTGACCTGAGGCAGGGCCCTCCAGGAGGAAGAGCAGCTCTGTGGGGGGTGGGGGATACTACTGGGCAATGATGCAGAGGGTGGGCTGACAGGAGACTTGGGACAGCTGGATGATCGGGGAGCAGGTGACACAGCCCTGTAGGGACAGCAGGTAACAGGAAGGTCATTGTGGAAGATCTTCTGCCCATCCTCCCTGCCTCCCCTTTCACCTAAGAATTTCCAAAGAGGTTTTCTACACACATGAATTCTAAGTATGTTTGAAGACAGTTTAACAACAGCATTCAAAATCTACTTAAAATCAAAATTAGGTAGCAGGGCGTGGTGGCGCATGCCTCTAATCCCAGTGCTCGGAAGGCTGAGGCAAGAGGATCGCTGTGAGTTCGAGACCAGCCTGGGCTACATAATGAGTTCCAGGTCAGTCTCAACTATATAGTGAGACCCTGTCTCAAACAAATAAACAAGCAAAAACAAAAATAATGAGTTCCAGGTCAGTCTCAACTATATAGTGAGACCCTGTCTCAAACAAATAAACAAGCAAACAAATCAAAATTAGAGGTGTGGTGGCAGACACGTATAATCCCAGACCTCTGAGGCTGAGGCAGAACAATCACAAATTTAAGCCTAGCCTGGGCAACGTAGAAATCTCAATAAAACAGAAAGATTATTTTGTACAGAGGACAAACTTTACCAGTACCTCTTTAGGGTCTGTAGCTGGGCCTGATAATTACCTTGGGATAGATTGGATTAACAGATAAAAACCCACAAATATAAAAATTCTGAGTCATGTTGGAGCCCACACTAGAAAAGGAAGATCAAAGGAACATGTAAAAACAAAATGCTTTTATATTCCATAAAAAAAGATAGGAAATTTTGGAAAAGTAACTATGGAGGGAAGCCAAAAGAAGAGAATTAATTTAATATTACGTCTCTGTCTTAAAATAAAAAGGGCTGGGATGCAGCTCAGTAAAAATGGGCTCAATCCCCAGCAATTGTATGCATTAGTTTCTTGTGATCAAACAGTTCAAAGTATTTTTATAAATGCTAATGTTTTGATTTTTCAATCAAATGTGTTAAAAAGGCAAGCTTCACTAAGCAAGAATGGTCAGAAAAAAATAATCCTGTCTGAATTTGTCCTCAAACCTCCAAAGCCACAGGTGAAGGACATGAGCCTGCCAAGAAAGGCAAGAACAGGCGACAGCTCCCATGGTTGTTTCCCTACGAGCCTAGGTGCCAGGAGAAGCGGGAGCACAGAGTTACAGAGCCAACTCCTACTGCAAGATGTGGGGGGGCGGGACTGAGTGCCACGTCAGGTGCAGTGCAGCCTGCCTCCTGCCAGCCACACGCCCCAGGGCAGCTAACCTCTCTCCCCACCGTGGGGTGGCAGTGCTGTTTGTCTCAGAGGGTTACAGCTTCCAACAGGACTTTACATCATCCTTTACACCAGAACTGCAGTCACACCACCTGTACTCCAAAGTGTTTTCTGGAGTTTTTTTTAAGGGTTACATGATAAACAAAAATGCCCACTGAATGTCTCAACATTTAAAGACCTACAGTGTGGAATAATACTATGCTAGGGATGGGGTCTCTGTGTAAATGTGAAAGGAAGGCAGGGGCAGAGGGATGCTGGTGAGGGACAGTAAGACAGCCCCGGCAGAGCATGGCCACCCACCTGCCTCCTGCTTTCTGCTTCTTCCCTTCCCAGCTGCAGATAACCCAGCACCCAGTGATCTGTCAGGAATTCTCAACTCTCTGCAAGCAGGTGCCTGAGGGAGGCAGCACCTTGTCACTGCCTCACTGGAGCAGGAGGACTGGACTTCAGAAAGAGCATCTGGGAGGAGTCTGAACCCAGTCTCCTTCTTCTAGAAGCTCATGCAGCCACAGCATGAGACCCTGGGGGTGCTCTCCAGGGCCAAGGAGACAGGAACACCACCGGGAGACCATGGCATGATGCCTACAGGCAGGACGGCCAGAAGGACTCGCAGGCCTCCAAGCTCACCCAGGGGCTCGGGAAAGGGTGATCCGCAGCACGCCAGGTCATGACATGTACGTGACCAAAACATGAAAAAGAAAAACTGAAAGCTCAGGAATGCAGAGACGATACTAACTCTGGCCAAACAAGGCCCCTTTATAGATGCAGACGGAGAAGATAAGAGGGGACCCGAATCCTTGATGGTCTGGGCTTCCTCACCAGCCCAGCACATGTAACCACAGGAGAGACAGCTGGCACCCAGAGGGCCAGTGCTTGGGCTCACCTGGATTTACTGACAGGCCAAGTGGAGGCAACGATGGAGTGAGTGGCTGTCATGGGGTAGGTGAGGTCGGAGAGTGGTGAGGGGGGAGGTGGACGGAGGTCATTGCCGGTCGCCCTCCGCAGGGTGCTGGCCTGTAGTTATTGACATAAATAAAAACTTGGTGGTCTAAAAAAGGTTTCCGTGAGTGAAGAAGGAAAATAAAAGTAAAATAAAAATAAAATAAAATAAAAATAAATAAAAGAGCCCAGAAAGGATGAGGGGACAAGAGAGAGAAAAAAAGGGGGAGGCAGAGAGGGTGGGAATGGTAGAAGAAGAATCAGAAGAGTGTTGTTGGTTAGAAACAAAAAGGAAAAAGGAAGGAAATTTAACAAAAATCTCAGCACAACAATACAGCACTGTGTTGCTGCCCCCCACAGTTCAGAGCCACACAGACACCCCAGCCCGGACTTCTGCACGAGGGCTCTCAGCTCCAGCTCCCTCCACAGGGATGCTGGTGGCCCTGCTCTCCGGAGGCCTCTGGTTCTAATAGGACACTCTGCCTACAGCAGGAAAGAGAGCCAGTCTCAGCCAAACCCCACCACCTTCACCCCAAGAGACCCCTTGGGTAACATGTGAATTCCCAAGGATGCTTCAAAGGCAGCTGCTCCTGTGAAAGGAGGGAGCCGAAGCCCCCACCATTTCCCTCTCCCCAACTACCAGCATACCCACTTGGGCCCCAAGACACTTTCAGGGACAAGACCCCCACACACCCACCTTTTTGGCAGACAGGGCCAGTTTCTTGGCTGGTGGAGGGGACATGAGGCTCACGGGCTCGAAGGCAGTGCTGCCCAGGACAGGGGACTTGAGCTTCACCATCTTAGAATCAGATCCATTTGGCAGCGCTTTGGAATGACCCACCGTGGGACAGTTTGTTCCCTGAGAGTCACAGACCTGGGCAGCTCCACCCTCGGGGGCCTGTGGGACTTTAGGGCTGCTGCCGGGAGAGTGCTCCAGGCTGGAGCGGCCAGGAGCCTCCTTCTCGAGGCCTACATTCTTGTCTTCCTCCTTCAGCCCATGCCCACTGGCAGTGGCCTCGGCCGGCTTTAGTGAGGTAGAGGGGACGGTGTCCCTGGTGTCCCAGGAGCTCCGCCGCCGGCTCCCAGGTTCGCTGGTACTAGGCGAGCACTGAGAAGTTCGGAGGGATGGGGAGCAGTGCTGTGAGGGGACCTGCCTCTTCGCTTTCTCCCCGTTCTCATCCAGGAGGGTCGGCATGTGTGCGGGCGTGGGGGCGAGTCTAGGGCGAGGGGACCCCAAGGGTGACTGTGCAGGCACATATCCGTTCTGTGACTTTGGGCCTGGCACACAGCCATTCCTGGAAACAGGCACGCCAATCTCCTCAGGGGGCCGCGGCTTCCTCATGGGCACAGCGCCTTGGAGCTAACAGAGACCAAGGCAGAAAGCATCGTCAGAGACGGAAAGGAGTGCTGGCCAGGCAGGTGTCCCTTGGCCAGAGCAGGGGAGGCCTCTAATGTGCTGCACCCTTGGGGCGGTCTCTGGTTTGGGTGGATCACCGTCCCCAGCTCGTGCTCCTACAGGCATGTGTTGTTATTAGCACCCTTACTGTGAGAGCAGCAAACCCTGACGGTGGCGCCAGGATTTCAGAAAAGGTATGCTGGGCGTGGCGATACACACCCATGAACCCAGCACTCTAGGAGACTCAAGCAAGACAATCACAAGTTTGAGTCCCATCCGGGCAACTTGGCCACTTAGTGGGACTGTCTAAATAAAAAAATTAAAAGGGCTAGGGCCACAACTTGGTTCATTTTCCAGTACCATAAAAAGAGGGAAAAAAGAGAGAAAAGAAAAACAATATACCAACCCAAACATAAATGTACCAACAGAAACCACCACCTACATGTAACCATTTATTAGAGTGCTAGTGCTTACTCTTGGTCTTTCCTTCAGAATGTTCTGCCTGCAGAGCTGCATCCCTGTGCTGCCTTGTTGCTTTTGTCTGAAGCGTCTTCCTAAGTTATTCTCTTAGTCTTCAATACCTGCTGGCAGCCACCATCTCCTCGTGTGGCTGCCTTATATCTACTGTACAATTAACAACACAGTATTCGATACTTTCTCTCCTCATGACACTAAACTGTGAAAATAACCTATTCTGTGTTTATTCCGCTTGCCCATGAAGCTCCGCCCTTGACCCCACCTGGATCTCTCTAGTTCACCACCACAGCCTTCCCAACCTGCTCCCACTTGCATGCAGTCAGTGCTAAAACACATTCAGGTCAGGGCTAGGAACTGGTGGCACAGCACTTGCCATGCATGAGTGAGGCCCTGGTTTCAAATCCCAGGGCCAAAAAAGAAAATAAACGTTTTAAAGATTGAAGGTTTTTCTGTACCTTATACCCCATGCTAATCTGCCAGAAGTGGAACTATTACGCTAGTCTCATGAATTTCTACTCTTACTGGCAATATTTAATTCTTTTTCAAAATATACTATAATTTGGCACTATTTTTGGCTCTTATTATATTACCATTTGTATCCTTAGTGTGCTCTGGAGTGAAATTCAAGCATTCCATTTGTTTTATTTTGTCTTTTGGTACTAGAGATTCAGCCCTGGCCTCCACGCTCAGCCAATCCCCAGCACTTTTCATTTTTTGAGACAGGGTCTGATAAATTGTCCAGGTGAGACCTGAATTTGCAACCCTCCTACCTCAGCCTCCCCATGCTGAGATTCCTGGTGTGCACCTCTACTCTCCCCTACTCCACTCCAATGAGGTGATACTGTAAATGTTCACCTTTTTGTTCCATTTTTTTTCTTATAGTTCTGCGGATGGAACTCAGACCCTCATGAATTCTGAACATGTACTCTGCCCCTGAACTAAACTCCCACCAGCCCCTTGCTGCAAATATGTTTAAAATTTCATCATTTAATATCTTACACGTAAAGCTTTAAATTTTTAGTCTAACTCATTTATATTTCACTTTCTCTCTCAATTTTTTTTCTTCCTTCCTTTTTCTTAGTACTGGAGATTAAACCCAGGAGCTCAGGCGTGGCAGGCAAGTACTCTACCACTAAGCTATATTCTCATCTAATCCTTCCCCCTTTGAGACAGAGTCTTGCTAAATTGCCTGGGCTGAGCCCCAAGTTTTGATCCTCCTGCCTCAGCCTCCCAAGTAGCTGGGATTACAGGTGTGTGCCACTGCATCTGGTTTCTCTCTCAAATTTAAGTTTACAAAGTCTTCCTACTTCCAGAGTTTAATTAAAAGTCACGTCTAAGGGCTGGGGATTTAGCTCAGTGGCGCTGCACCTGCCCTGCAAGTGCGAGGTCCTAAGGTACCAAAGGGGGATAGGCTCACTTCCATTTTGAGTTTTTATAACAGTTAATTCCTTATTAATATTATATTCTAATGGGAATACATCTTTCCATTTCTTGAACACTTACACATATACTGAAACTCACACAGTCTTAAAGTAAAACGATCCATTTAATTATAGTGTATTTAGAAAACTATTTTTGAAATGAAAACATGAGCAGCCACTGAAGCAGCCTTGCAGGTGTGCAGGTGGGCATCCCACTCTGCTTCACAGTGGCCCGGTGGCTAGGGAGGCTCGCTGGCTTCTGGACCTTGGAGGCAGTGGCCACCAACTTCGGAATGATGATAACACTGTACTACATTTTAATTCCTATGCCAATGCGAATGCTTCTGGTTTCAGTTTCTTTTCACCATTAATGGAAAGAAAAGGCAGATTTATGTAAATGACCAAAGCCAGGCCCTGCTGCCTGGATATGGGTTCACATCTCCCAAGACGCTCATGGCAGTCACCTAGAGGGGCGACTCGACTCGCTCAGTGTCAGTGTGTGTTACAGGGAATGACTTGTTACCCTGCCAATACAATGGAGTCCCTGACTGTTTCAGCAGAAAATTTCAAATACATACAATGATGACCTCAAGGCATTCCCTTAGCTTTGGAGTTAGTGTTAGTGTTTTGTCACATAAGCCTCAGCACTCTCTTTGCCTGTATACACGTGTGTACACGTATGTATGCAAATTTATACATCTGAACCATGTAAGCAAACTACCCCAATAAGACCGTGTTAATTTCTACATACCTAGGCCAACCTTATACAGATCTAAGGATCACGCCGGGAGCCTAGCACAGGTGCAAGTACTCATACTCTCAGAGTCAGGGGACGGAGTGCTTCCCAGGTGCCTGGGGCTCAGTGCCTGCCTGTCATGGAACCTCAGGACAGTAGCCGGCCCACTGAACATTAAAAGTTTGAATTTGTTGGGTCAGGCTCTCTCATCACTGTCCCATCTCTTTCCAATGGCAGCAGGTGACCAACTCAGGAAATACCATCGAATGACAGTATCGCTGCCTGCCCACTCCTCCCATGTTGGCCAACGGTCCTGCACAAGGAGACCCATGGACTCTTTGCAGTGTCAATGCAGAAGCTCTGAGAGCACCCTCACCAACCCGCCTTCCTCAACAGTACCTTTGCAGCTGGGGGGGAGGAAGTGACCCCGTTGCCAGCACTTTTCTTGGTGTGATCTGGAACCACACTTGGGCAGCTGGGAAGGGTAGAGCTTGCTCTGGAGATGAGGCCCTCTGGACTCTTCTTAGAGCTTGGAATTCTGTCAGAGCAAGGAACCAAGTCAGGGGAATCCCCGCGCAAGCTCAAAGATAATGCAGAGTGCAACTGAGGCAGAATCAGGGTGACCTGATGTAAGCATATGCTTCTGTATTTAGGTAGATGTGACCAAGGAAGAAAACCACCTAAAGGAACCCCAAGTGCCCTGCCTTTCAGCCACAGCAGAGCCAAGAGGTCTTCTGGGGTTAGATTCTTAAGTCATCAGAGAGAAAAACATCCCTTGAATGCATCTTCCAAACACAGGAGAGCATACGAAGCAGCAAAAACCCATCATCACGTCCTCCAACCACCAGGCTGGTGACCACCCTAAGAACGGGCTCACCCAACGCAGCTCCTTTAGACCCCAATAGCAACCTTCACTGCCCCAGGGGAAGCAGTCCGCTGACTGCTATGCAAGGCATCCCATCTAATCTGGGGCAATATCATAAGAAAATACACAGGCTTAATGCCACATGCCTGTAATCCCAGCACTCAGAGGCTGAGAGAGGAGGCTTACAAGCCGGAGCCAACCCCAGTCAGCTTAACTAGACCTTGTCTCAAAACAAAAAGGGGCTGGAGGTGAAGCTTAGTGCTAGAGTGCCCCTGGGTTTGATTCCCAGTACCTACAAAAAAGGCAAGCAAGCAATAGTAAAAAAAAAAGCTAACTTGCTCCACCATGTGTTCACAGCAGCATACATGTGGGAATAGACAGAATCCTATTCTGCCCTCCTCTAAAGCTTCGGGTTTTACTAATGACCAAGAAGCTTGGTTACAAAAGGTCATTCATTCCCATTATGTATGACTGGGGGACAGTATCTGCCCAAGTCTTTTCTCTCCTACAGAATTCCCCATTCCTCCCAGGCAGGAAATGGCTGGTGAGAGCACTGGTTTCACAACAGAGTACTAGAGAGTACAAGTGCATCTGGGGAGGGTGCAGGTTCCTCACCGCAGGTAGAAGAGCACATAGGCCTGCTGGTTCAGAACCACCTTGACATTGCTGGAGTGAACCAGGGAGTCGTTCATCTGGTACCACTGTCCGTTGCTTGCCTGGGTGGCACAGGGAGCAGGAAAATAAACAATCAGTAGACATTCCACCCCCCCATTTATACGGTAGTGTTAGCTGCTCCGTGTATCCAAGTGCTAACTAACCTGTGAAGACCCCTCCTTTAGTGGGTACCATCTGTGTCACTCCAAATGTGACCCCAAAGCACGAGCTGGGTCTCGCTTGCCTCCTAGTATCCCTTCTAAAGGGTAGTAGGCAGATCCAAGCCCCAGTTTCCACCAATGTCTGGTCTCCAAGGAAATTTCTCCACATCTAAGGACAAAGGAGCTACTTCTCTAAGTCTTCCACAAGTCTTAAAAACACCAGACTCAAGAGAATAATTTCTTTTGTTTTTTGGTACTGGGGATCGAACTCGGGTCCTTGTACTTGAGAGGCAGGCATCGGAACCACTGAGCTAAATCCCTAGCCCAGTAGAATCATTTCTTAAAGACAGATTTTTCACTGAATGTACTGAAGCAACAAGGACTTGAACATAGCTAGAAAACACTGTCACTTCACAGTATAAATGTGCAGAGACCAAATTTGGACCTGCACAGGAAGCAGCATTAAGGCCACCGACCAAAGTGACAGATCAGAACCTGCCAGTGCTCACCTTCACATAGCAGTAGTAGTGTCCAGCATGGCAGCTGTAGCCTGAGTGGACCAGCACAGCGTAAAGCCCATACATCACAGGGTCGCCATTGCTCTGGGACATATATGGACGGATGTTCAGGAACTCTGGATAGCCTACATCCTGTTTGAAAAGTTCAAGGAAAAGGCAAATAATACTCATCCCTGAGAGTAAGGATCAACTGGCCCTTTTCATCCACAACCATATGAAATGCCAGGCTTAGCTGGTCTCTTAACAAGTTGGGGCAACTGGGGGAACACTGCAGCAGGTGCTCCCACCCACACACACTGGTCAACAATCACTGATTAAGAGACTAGGAACTTCCTCATCTCTCCCTGCTCCACTCCCTTGAATAAAATCTCCAGTTGGGGGTAGGAGAGACAAGGAGCAGGGCTGGGGACATAGCTCAGTGGCACGACACCTGCCTCACAAGTGCAAGGTCCCGAGTTCGATCGCTGGTACCGGGGGTGGGACAAGGAGCTGCCATGTGGAACTTGTTCACCTGACTATGGGAAACTTGTTGTCCCACCAAGTAATTGACGGTTTAATACTTGTCTTTGTCACAGATCTAAACTTACTGGCTGTTTTTCAACTGCAAAATGAGAAAAATAATTCATTTTACTTCCTGCTATCCTATAGGAATACTGTCGGGAGAGAGAACAGAGACCATGCTGGGATTTAGGCCTTCAGAAACCCAACTGCTGAATCAATTCAGCCTCAGTAAGGTAAAATTTTAATGCACTGGGTCAGAGGAGTGCCAACATTCATTTATTCCAGAAAAGAAATTTTTTTCTTAGGAAAAAATATTCTTATCTTTCAATGATAGATAGGTGGTATATCTTCATTTCTGCTCATACAAATGAATTGTTTTGGTGGCACGAAGGACTGAACCCAGGCCCTCACACATACTCGGCAAACGCTCTACCCTAGGTGTACCCCACCCCTTTTTATTTTGGGATAGGGTCTCACTAAATTATCCAGGCTGGCCTCAAATTTGGGACCCTCCCTCATCCTCCCAAGTAGCTGGGATGAGCAGTGTGCACCACCACACTCAGCTCACAAATTAAGTACAATCCATGGAGTGAGACCCAGATCTTAGTGCCAGCTCTTGGCACTCAGGCAGCTTGTGGCAGATGCACACTGACAGAACTCCACACCAGTGATGCCAGGCCCCTGAAGGGCCCTCTGTGCCATCCACGTGCATCTCAAACACCAAAGCTTCGCCTTCTGTAACCTTTTGTTACTTCTGCCTATTCTTCAACTTCCTCATACAGCATGTACTTTTTTCTGGCTTCTTTTGATCAATCTAATGTCTCAGAGATTCACCTATGAATTTTTTCTTAGCACTGAAAAATATCAAAAGCCAACATACACCAAGGGCTCAAGAGCTTCAATCCAACCTTGTTAGACACAGAGCCCCAGAAATCAAGAGACAAGTGCTTCTCAAATGGCTTCCACTGGAGAACAAATTCCAGGAGGTGGTAACAGAACACAAGCTCCTCATGGCAAAACCACACTGACCTTCCTCACGCTCTCACCAGTGGCCAGCACAGGACGTACGACGGAAACATGGCAGTATTAGCAAGATGAGGGAAAACACGACTCCTCAGACCAGTATGTCTAGAAAATTCTTTATGCTCAGTACTGAGGTTTAACAGGCAACGTGCTTAATACAGGCTCGAAAAAGACCTGCAATTACTGCCATTGCTGAAACTAAGGCTCAGACAAGTCCCTAGCCCCAAACCACCTAACCAGGCTCTAACTATAGAATGGACTCTAGATTTCTAGGAAGCACAAATGTCTTTTGTTAGAATCTCATGGTAGGTTTTTACTCCTTATTCCACAAAAAGCCACTGCAGGCAACTGTACAAGTTTTAGAAGCAAACAGTATACAGCAGATCAACACTACAGTCATGTTCATCACATTTATTTCTCAAGGAAACCCTGGCACTCCACAATAGGAAAAGGCCAAGAACAGGTAGAAGTTGAGGAAAAAAATCCAGTAAAACAATGGTTCTCAAACTGCAATGGGCAAAATAATTTACAGATTTTGAAGAAATACAGATTCCTGGGCCCTGTACTCTAGGGAAAAGCCAGGCATCTGTGCCTTAAATAGTTCAGCTGAATGGATGTACACCAAGACCCCCGGAGCAGACTGGGATGGAGCTGAGCCCTCACCTTGGTGATCTTCCCCCCACTGAAGTTGGCAAAGCGCTTGAGAGAGAGGGTTAAGACATTGGATGTTCTGTGGATGGTGAAGCGCTTGCTGGCTGGAACCTTCTTCTTGCATCTGTGAAGAAGGTGAATGAAAAAGGTATTAGAGTGTGCTCTGAAAAACACTTGTGCTCATGCTATGTTAATAAAGGGACAACCACTCTGATAATGGAGACTTCTTGACGGAGACCTGTGCTTGAACATCAAAATCAATAGGTCCCGAGTCAAGAAAAAACCCCATAGGGCAGCAAAGACTAGAGAAACGGGAGAGATCCTGAGGCAAAACTACTTCACTAACCTGGAGAGTAAATAAGATGTGCAAAAAGTGGCTTTGGGGTAATACAGGAAATAACAAACCTAAGCAGATGCAGGAAATGATAAAACAGGTAAGCAGGAAATGGAAGCAAGCACAGCCAGAAGACAAGCAGAGGAGGAGAGAGGCAATGGAGACAGAAGTGAACACCTTCCAGAGCTGAGAGACAAAAAATTGTTTTGGCACAGAACAAGAAACTTCAGAAGCAGAATTAAGAAACTGTTTTCCAGGGGTGATTACAGCTTCCCAGTGCCTACATATAAAGACACCCACCCAGTAAGACTTCAGAAGTGGAAGGACAAGGACGTGTTCTGCCTTCTGTGACAATTCAAGTTACAGACAGAAGCCACAGACTGTGTCTCATCTGAGAGACAGGATGGTGTAGTGGTTCTCTACCACATCCTGTTGGTGAGACCCTGGGCAAATTCCTTCCCCTCTGAACCTCAGTTTTGCCAACTTGGGCGGTGGGGGTAACGGTGGTCCCTGTGACACAAGTTAATATCTACACACCCTTTGGAATAGTAACAAGGGCTGTGTGAACGCATGTCTACTCCCTTGTCTGTGTTGCTGGAGGGCCATGTTTATAATAAAGACTCACATACAGTCTATGTAAGCCACATGAGCAGGGTCACCTCTAAGGAAGGGGATGAAGAGTACTGCGTCCAGTGACTTATTCTACAGCCTTCTGGATGTTGAGTCTTTTGCTGAGAGCAAGGTGGAACTTACTTGGCGCACATATAGGCATTCTCTCCACTCAGGACATCTGGTTTCACAAAAAGTTCCAGAGCACGTACAATATTTGCAGCTTGCTGAGAAGGATAAAATGAAATAAACAGCAGGAGAAAAAGGCTGACTCAAGATATACCAAATTTAAGGTCTTTTTCAGGCTGAGACAGCAAATCACAGAACTTGACTTGCATAAAAAATGGTTCGCTAGCTGCCACCTCCTGAGACTTGGAACACCCACTACAAAGGAGGAGGGAGCCAGCCTGTGTTCCTTTTCTAGCAGTGACAAGTGACAGCCACGTGAGGTCAGCCATGTGAATCAGTCACTTTCATCTCGACTGTAGCTGGATCCACTCAGAGGCTCACATGGCCCAGCAGCAGCGAGCCAGTATAAAGAACAGGGCCAGCCCATGGTGCCCCAAAGCTGCAGCTCCTATGGAGTGGCTCCCTGGCACATCAGGGTCTCTCTCCTCAAGCCCGTGTGACAGTGCTGCCACTGCTCATACCTCTGGACACAAAACTCTTTCTTATGAAAGGAATTACCAGTTTCTAACATAAGTTGGATGGTAAGTATTTCTTTTCCTCATCTATTCTGCTAATTCACCTTCACCGCCCTGCCTGGTCCTCAGCTTCAGTGCCCCAACAAAGATAAGACCCCGGAGCCCCACTTGTACCCGAATCTCTAGCGCCACATCCAGGTAGGGGTCATAGGTGTCCGAGACGCTCTTGCACACGGAGCACTTCACTGCAACAGACAAAGAGCAGTGAGCGGCCGCAACCACAAAAGGACTCCAGGCTCCCCACACCTAGAACTGCAGGGCCACAACTCTCAGCCTGCTTCTGCCACGGAGGATCTGTCTGCCCAGGCCCTGGAGTCAGGAGGTGGGAGAGACTCCCTTGCCAGCAATGCTCACAAGGAGATGCCAGGCCTCCCTGCACTTGGGTCTCATCTGCCACTGACCAGTAACTGCCCTGGGCCAACCGGCAGTGCTCTGCAGTGGGGCAGCGATGGTCGCACCTGGAGGACCAGGGACAACAAGGTGGGAAAAGCACATCATCACTACACTTGGCACTTTCCCCAACTCTGTCACAAGGACATTGTGAAAATTAGTGGGCACGCACAAAGCCAAGGCTCAGGACCTCCACGATGTACTGAGTCTGCCTAGGACGCAATGAGCCCAGCCTGCCCACAGATGCTCAAGGTTTTCAGGGTTAACATCTAACCAGCTAGAGTGGGATGGAGAACACACCTCCACTCACCTCGTGATCTGAGATAGCCTCCAAAAATCTGATGCACCAAGGTGGTTGCCTGTGTCTGACGATCCAGCCTGAAAAGGAGGGAGGCCTCTGAGAGGTGACACAAGACAACACAGCTGTGTTTGAACCACTTCCACCCAGCCAGTGACCACCGAGAGAGCCCACCTACTCTGCCACACTTGGAACTTGCACCTCAGGGCCCAGCAGTACTGGGCAAAGAGGCTCTCTGGTGAAATGCCCCTTCACTGCAAGTGACCTTGCCACCCACTTCACAGAAAACAAAAGGTGCAGAAAAGTACCTGCATCCTCACCTCTCCTTGAACTCTCAGCAAAAGGATCCAAATATGCTATGGGGCTGGAGGCTGAGTCCTCCCTGAGCTTTGGGGTAGGAGAGTGGGTAGGAACAAAGGCCCTGTGTCCACAGCCTCCTCAGCAGAGGACAGCAGGGTCACAAGGCCCCAGCACAGGTTACTAACTGGGACCCAGGGCAACACTAAGCCTCAATACCAACCTGCCCTACAGAGCTAAGAGTCCATGGTCCTTCTGACACCTAGCCAGCCCCAAAGAGCTGGGAGGACACAGTCCTCTTGTATGCCAAGTATTCATGTGGCAGTTACTTGTGTTTGGCAGACTCTGGACAACACCCCAAAGCTCGTTTTCTCTTCTGGTTCCATCTGCTGCCCTCCACATCTGCGCTGCCTCAGCCCTCTGAAATTCTCCTGTCACCAGGGTCCCAAGCCCCAGCTCTGGAGTCCTTCCTCTAGAGACTATGGAACTCAGAGGCGAGTGGCCCCTTCCTGCTCCTCACAGGGACCTGTCCCTGGGCTAAGGGCGAAGAGGCCTAATTCACACCGCCTGTACGGGCAGATCCATACAGGCACATGCACATGTGCTTCCTCTGCCTTTTGCAGAGCCTGCTGCTGACCCGGGCCTTTACTCACCACACTCGCACAATGCGCCAGAACATCTAGGGCACTTTTTTACTTTGCAAAGTTAGGAAATAAAAAGTCAACTGCTACCATCTACTGCTGTCACCATTCATCAAAAGAAGGGATATTTTAAGTCCAAATAAACTAGCAGGGAGGCATTTCAGAGGACTTTGAAAACCCATAGGTAGCCAAACATCACAGCAGCTGCCGAGTCCCAGGTCCGAGAGAAGTGAGAACCAGAGCGCACAGACCCACTGAGCCCACCCTCAGAGTCGCACACAGAGAAAGCACAGCCATCCACATGAGGCCAGGTCCCGGCAGACTGCCCTCGTACAACGCCACATGACACCAGCTGGGCAAGCCAGGACACCTCAGGGACAACGAGGGAGGGGAGCGAGGCCACTGGGGTAGGCCCCGTCACCAGGTGTCAGCAAAAGGACTGCAGAGGCTCGAGACTGGGTGGGGAGGACAAAAAAGGGACAACAGGATCCTGACAAAAACCCAAACAATCGGAGGCTGTAGACCCTCCTGCAACCCAGAAAAGCCCACGAGTTCAGGAAAATGTTCTCACTGTGCTAAAAGAGGGGCTGTGGCGTCAAAACCCTGAGACTCATAGATCCACAGAGGAAGGTAGCCTCAGCTGAGGCAAAGGGGCTGGGGTAGAAACCAGCAATAAACAAGACGTAAAGCATTAATCTGATGAAAACTATCCCTGGGAAGCAGCACAAAGCAAAAGAAAACAACACAAACTCCAAACTGAATTAAATATCCTCTGATACAATGGGAGTACAAAAACGGGGTCTCACTATGTAGTTCAGGCTGGCCTTGAACTATGTAGCCCAGGCTGGCCTCAAATTCATGGCAATCCTCCCGCCTCAGTCTCCCAAGTACTAGGATTACAGGCATGTGTCACTACACCCAGCTTAAAAAATTTTTAAATAGAGAAAAATGAACTCAGGAAAGAAACAGAAGATTTCTCACACACACACACACACACACACACACACACACACACACACGCTTGTCAGCAATGAAGACAGCAGTTTAAGTTGTCCAAGGGAGACAAGATTTACGAAATGCAAACAGGGGACTACAAAGCAGGAAAATAAGCAGAGAATGCACACACAGTGAAGATAGAGCATCCAAGAGAAAGCAATGAACAGTAATAATGGAGTACAATGTAGCAACAAAATACAAAACTAGAACATGGAAATCTTCCAGAAGCCAGCAAAAATGCCCTAAAAACAAACAAAATGCTACCACCAGTGTGCTGCCACATGAGAGTGATCTCCCAACAGGTGCTGAGTGATGCCACAGTAAGATACTTTCCTCGGTAACACATCCCTAGGCCACACTTGGCAGCCTGACATGCTGATTTACCAAGCTGGCCTTGTGGGTGGACTCTGCACATTTTTAAACCACAGCATTTAAAACAGCACCAATCCAGAAGCAATAGCGTTTCAGACCCTACTTGACCACTGCTAGAGGCTGAATCTTAGGTTAGTAATGCTTTTTTTGTTGATATTTCAAGGGTTAAAATTCAACTTCAAATTTTCATTGGTCAGGTGACAATGTGACATACAGGAAAATTAGATAATCAGCTGTGAGAGGGCCCAGGACAACCATCAGGCTTTAAAGTTTAAAGGAAAAGGGTTGAAGATTTAGCTCAGTGGCACCGTGCCTGCCTTACAGGCGCAAGGTCCTGAGTTCAAGCTCTGAGACCAAAAAAAAAAGCGACATATCTATAATCCTAGCATTGGAGAGGCTGAGGCAGGAGGATCATGAGTTTGGGCTGCCTACACAGCAAGTTCAAGACCAGCCTGAACTGTATGACAAGTCATTGTCTCAAACAAAAAACAAAACAAAAACATCAACCCCCCAACCAAACCCTCAAGTCCTCCAAGCAAAAAAGCAAATAACTACAACATCAAGAGAACGACACCTCAAATCTGGGAAATTCTGTGCAAGCATTAAAAAAGGGCAGATGTATGAAGGGAGTCAATGGAATCTTCCTAAACAGTGAAAGAAATTTTAAAAATAGGTCAACAGAAAAAGCACAGCAAATGTGCCATATATAATAACTGTGAGATACAAGGACGAGGGTTGAGAAACCTTTTTAGTTACAACAGTACACTGAAAGGGCTTGACTTGCTATAAAGACATTTACCTTGGCCTCTGCAGACCAAACTTAAGGATGCCTAAAACAGTGCTCAGAGAGAAATGGGATGAGGTGGTGTGTGGGCAGGAGGAAACCTCCCAGAGAAGGGTGCAGTTCCAACATGGGCAAAGGACAGAGCCAAAAAGCACAGATTGTGACAAAGACACTTCTTAATGCTAGGGCAACAATTCTCTGCAAAGACAGGACAGAAGTGAGCATCCACCCACAAGCGCCTGCACAGAGCAAAACACAGCAGCAGCACAGGCTCAGAGCATCACAGAGCACAGGAGGAGGCAACCACAGACACAGCCAGAGGACAAACGCGGTGCAATTAACTGCACAGATCTTCAAAACCCAGAGAGCAAGCTGCATACCCTGACTGCATAAGGACAGTCTCAAGGGCACAAACCACAAACACTGACTGTATATTTACCAAGTCACAGAGAAAACACCAGGAAGTTCAGCAGAAACATTACAAACACATTCTGATCACAATGCAAGCCATTCCAAAATCACCACCACCAGCAAAAACCACAAGGGCTGTTCGCCTACCAACTAAGTGATATTACAAATAACATTTAGCTGTGGAAAGCTCAACCCGGTGACATTTTTCCTTCCCACTACATTTCATTAGAGGCCAGTGGAAACTCATGGATGTGTTTGGTGAGCACCCATCTCCCCTTTGGCCTTCCACCTGTCACCTGACACCTGCTCCTTCCCCTGTCCACCTCTGTGCGAGGTGCCAGGCAACATCTCAGAATTTGTGTTTGGTCTCCTTCCCTACAACAGCTGCAACCCACCGCCCACCCCCAAGCCCTCCCCAACTTCTTCTGCCAGCAGATACCGTCTAACTGGCCTGAGCCCAGACACCAGTTCTATCCTAAACTCTGCAGGTGACCATGTCCTGTGCCAGGGTCAGCCACTGCAGCAGATCGTCATACCCCACTGCAGGGCTGGGACACCTCTGACCTTCCCTCCTGGGATCTAACCTTCCATGCCTCAAGTGTGGTCTCCAGGCTTTCCAAGACCATGCTTCCCGTAGGATGACAAAATGCTGCACCACAAGCTCCTTAGACATCTTTCATCTCTAGACCCTCAGAGCTGAATTAAGTGTCAGGCATACAAGAGGTTCCACACACAACTCCTGGAGCAAGCATCTCACCAGGGGATGGTACACTTAAAAGGGCAGGCCCAATTCGTGTGCTCGTGTGTGTGTGTACACACGTGAGAGCTCCCATATCCTCAGGGGATGGGAAGAGTATGTGGCTATGCCCTCTGAATAGGCAACCACCATTCACGAATCTGGTGGCACATTTTTTTTCATGTAACTTGAGAAAGTTTTCTTTGCATACAGTTTATTTACCTAAGACTCTCATTCACCAAAACAGATGGTGTTCCTATTTCAAACCCTCATTGGTACAACTCAACAATTCTAAACAATGTAGGCTGAGGATTTAGTTCAGTGGTATCACTGCCTGCCCTGCAAGCGCATGGTCCCGAGTTTGATCCTCCATACCGAAAAAACAAAACAAAACGAAACAAAAAACCTGCTAAGGAACAATTTAGACATTTCCTAAGCTGTTTCAGACACTTCCAAATACTGATTTAAGTTCTCTTCCAAGCTTCAATGAAAGCAAGAGACAGCAAGCACTCCCTGGCTGGTCTCAGCTGAACCTCCACCCCAGGGACAGACAACAGAGGCCTTGACAATGGTGGCAGGTACATATGTGAGCACCCATTCCAAAATCAATGGTTACACAAATGTGTTCTGCCCTCCAAATCTCAAAAACAGTAAGCAGGCAGAGGGAAACTAAAAATCATAACCTTGCTAACTTCAAGTTTTGCTATATGCTGGTAAATTCTTTACAGAAATATTATAATTCTTACCACCCCACCCTCTCTATCAAAACAACAAAGAGATTTTAGAAAGACCAAGAGCCACATCCAGAGCTCACTTGTTCCAGACCGGACCTACGAAATCACTTTCCCTCACTGGCTGCTTGGGACAGAGCTACCACTCCTTGCCACCTGATCCAATTACACTGTCCATGGCCAGCCTGAAGGATGCAGGAGACAGCCCTCTCCCAGGCACCCCCAATTTGGGCCTCAGTGGGGGCCCATGCATTTGTACAAATTCTGCCTCATGTGCACAGGAGGCCTGGCAGGTGAGTGAAGGCTCGCTGTCCCCACTGTGAAGGAGTCTGCTGAAGTCCCTTAGGAAGGGCGGAGAGACTGAGCACATACTTGGCATAACCATTCAGGCAGGCCTTCTGCATGGCGTCGATGGTGTACCGGAGAAACTCGTGTGCGTCCTCTTGGTTCCCAAAGCGGAAGTGGCGGGCAATCTCTGAGGAAGGAAGGAAAGGGTATAGAAGAGTGCCGCCTGCCTCAAGAGTCCACTGCTTGCAGTCACAAGGAGAAGAGACCACCCTCTTACAGAACAAAGTGACGCAACCAAGCGCTCTGCATCATGTTTTACATTCACTGTGGCAGTTAATTGCTCAGGGAGATCAAAGGGCTTGGGCTTGGCTGGGCGCAATGGCTCACACCCACAGTTTCAGCTACTCTCGAATATTAGTGGAGCCCAAGAGTTCAAGGCCAATCTGGGCAAGAAGGCAAGATCCCCCATACCCAAAGAAAAAAGAATGTAAAATTCCACTGATGAACTAGTTTTCCAAGAGCCAACACCGAAATCAATGGATTCTAACTATGTTGGTTCCAAAAAACCATGAGTTCATCTTTTCTACCAAGTGACTACGGAACCAGATCCCCACAGCAAGTGGTGGCTGCTTCCTCTAAGGCTCAGAAAGGACTTGGCACACTCCCATCCTCCTCTCCCAGCTGTCCCTCACACTCACCTGCCAGCCTTAAATACACCACATACTCTCTGCCTGGTCAAAACTCACCTGTCCTCGAGGCAAGGAGCATGCCTCACCCAGACCAGAAAGCCTTCCTTCAGATCAACTGCCCAGCCCATGTGTGTCTCAATATTACCACTCCTTTGGCCTGCAAGGCTCAATGTGGAACCATCAGCCAGTAAGGAGTCCTAAGACTTTCATGACATTCTCCTCCCTCCCACCACCTCAGCAGCACGGACTGCAGAGCTAGCATCAGCAGGCGCCCAAACCATGAGTCCATTCTTACTTTTCAGGTCGCGGATGAAGGAGATGGGCTTGATAGCGTTACCACTGTTGGCGAAGGCCTGGACGATGTGGTTCTGCATGACGCAGAGCATGCAAAAGCTTCCCTGGTGACCTGTTTATGAAGAAGTAACAACATGAAGAGCTTTCGAGAGCATTTCCACTGACACCTACACTCTGATAAGAGAGTACAGCGCATAGGGCAAACCACTCTGTGAAAGGCCAGGTGAGTCACAGAGACCCCAGACCAGACAGATTTGTGGATTGCCAGGGAAATACTTAGATCTGCTGGATGGCATGGCATTCCAGGGCCACAACACCTCCACAGCTGTAATTCTAACATTCTCAAACCATTATTGCCTTGTTTTAATGCCAGTGACCTGTGTGAGATCTTTTTATACCTAATATATAAACACACACACACACACACACACACACGCGTGTGCGCACGCGTGCGCGCGCCCTGGTACTGGGATTAAATGCAGGGCTTTCGCACTGAGCTATCTTTGTAGTCCTTCTTTATTTTGAGGCAAAGTCTTGATGAGTCACCAAGGGACCCAAGTTGGGCTCAAATTTGCCACCTTCCTATCTCAGCCTCCCAGAGTGCAAAGATTACAGGTATGTGTTGCTACAGCTGGCTCATTAGTATTCTGTGCACAATGAGGCAGTCTAATTTTCAACTATACCATGCAGTGGGATATCTTGTACATTAGCCACTTGTTTTTTTATCTAATCCAGTAAGTTTATTGGTACATTTTAGGTATACAATGACATTCATCATTGGGATCTTGTACCTTTACATGATAAATTTTGGTTATTTCCCCCCTATTTCCCTGCCCTCCATTCATCCCCTCCACCCTTCCCTATTTACAAAGACTCTGTTTTTTTCCTTTTCTCATATTTTTTCCTTTCCCTTTCCTTTCCCCTACACCCCCCCC